TTCAAGGTCTCCTTTGTTTTTTTCAAACTAGGCGGTTCGCGCGTGTATATTCAATTCGTGCTAGATTTCTTATTGGAAATCTAGCACGAATTCTTGTTTGAATTCTTGTTTGAATTCTTGTTCAATTTCATGCTATTATTCTCGCTTTTCATTCTCGCTTTTCATTCTTACTTTTCATTCTCGCTTTATATTCGCCTCATAGTCTTCGTCCTGCACTATAACTCCTTAGTCATATAAGCGCTGTTGGGATCCTCCGTATACTGGGCAAACGGCCCGCAGTATTCAAAACCGAGCTTCTCATACAGCCTGCGGGCCGGCTCAAAAAAAGCCATGGAGCCTGTCTCCAGACTGAGACGGCTGTACCCGCGCTCCTTGGCCGTACGGATAATATGCTCCAGCATAACTCCGGCCACCCCTTTGCGCTGATGCCGCGAGGCGGTCTGCATGGATTTGATTTCGCCGTGGCCTCCCCCCAGCTCCTTCAAGGAACCGTCACGGTCGTCGTGGTGCCGTCCGGGCCGGGGATCTCCAGCTCGTTCTTACCATTCGACGTTGGCGTCACGTCCGCGATGGCCGTCGTCGTCGAGCCGTCCGTGGTCGTGATCGTCACTTCCTGCTTGCCGTCGATCACCGGGCCGTCCGTTGTCACTGTAGCGGGACCCGTAGGAGTTATCACGCTGACCGTCGTCGTCGTCGTCGTCGTCGTCGTGGCCGTGCCGTATTCACTCTCACGGACTGGAATCGGAATCCGTCGGGGGCTCTCACCAGGACCCAGCGGGACTTCCACCCACAATGATCCGTCCGTGTACTCCAGCACATCAACAGTACGCTTCTCCGGCGAGCTGCCGTCATGCTTCAGAATCGTGATACTCTGCGTGCGTTCCGGTGTCACCGGGCCATTGAACAGCACCGTCCAAAATCCGGCGGCCGTGTCAATCTCGACAGATGGTAGCCCCTCCGTGCCCGTTTGGTGTTCACTCGGGTAGCCGCCATAGCCGCTCCCTGTCGACGTCGAAGGAACCGTCACGGTCGTCGTGGTGCCGTCCGGGCCGGGGATCTCCAGCTCGTTCTTACCATTCGACGTTGGCGTCACGTCCGCGATGGCCGTCGTCGTCGAGCCGTCCGTGGTCGTGATCGTCACTTCCTGCTTGCCGTCGATCACCGGGCCGTCCGTTGTCACTGTAGCGGGACCCGTAGGAGTTATCACGCTGACCGTCGTCGTCGTCGTCGTCGTCGTCGTGGCCGTGCCGTATTCACTCTCACGGACTGGAATCGGAATCCGTCGGGGGCTCTCACCAGGACCCAGCGGGACTTCCACCCACAATGATCCGTCGGTGTACACCAGCACATCAACAGTACGCTTCTCCGGCGAGCTGCCGTCATGCTTCAGAATCGTGATACTCTGCGTGCGTTCCGGTGTCACCGGGCCATTGAACAGCACCGTCCAAAATCCGGCGGCCGTGTCAATCTCGACAGATGGTAGCCCCTCCGTGCCCGTTTGGTGTTCAGTCGGGTAGCCGCCATAGCCGCTTCCTGTCGACGTCGAAGGAACCGTCACGGTCGTCGTGGTGCCGTCCGGGCCGGGGATCTCCAGCTCGTTCTTACCATTCGACGTTGGCGTCACGTCCGCGATGGCCGTCGTCGTCGAGCCGTCCGTGGTCGTGATCGTCACTTCCTGCTTGCCGTCGATCACCGGGCCGTCCGTTGTCACTGTAGCGGGACCAGTAGGAGTTATCACGCTGACCGTCGTCGTCGTCGTCGTCGTCGTCGTGGCCGTGCGGTATTCACTCTCACGAACTGGAATCGGAATCCGTCGGGGGCTCTCACCAGGACTCAGCGGGATTTCCACCCACAATGACCCGTCCGTGTACTCTAGCACATCAACAGTACGCTTCTCCCAAGAGCAGCCGTCATGCTTCAGAATCGTGATACTCTGCGTGCGTTCCGGTGTCACCGGGCCATTGAACAGCACCGTCCAAAATCCGGCGGCCGTGTCAATCTCGACAGATGGTAGCCCCTCCGTGCCCGTTTGGTGTTCAGTCGGGTAGCCGCCATAGCCGCTTCCTGTTCGACGTCGAAAGAAGCCGTCACGGTCGTCGTGGTGCCGTCCCGGCCCGAGGATCTACCAGCTCGTTCTTACCATTCGACGTTGGCGTCACGTCCGCGATGGCCGTCGTCGTCGAGCCGTCCGTGGTCGTGATCGTCACTTCCTGCTTGCCGTCGATCACCGGGCCGTCCGTTGTCACTGTAGCGGGACCCGTAGGAGTCGTCATCACGCTGATCGTCGATGTCGTCGTCGTCGTCGTGGCCGTGCCGTACTCACTCTCACGGACTGGAATCGGAATCCGTCGGGGGCTCTCACCAGGTCCCAGCGTGACTTCCACCCACAATGATCCGTCCGTGTACTCCAGCACATCAACAGTACGCTTCTCCGGCGAGCTGCCGTCATGCTTCAGAATCGTGATACTCTGCGTGCGTTCCGGTGTCACCGGGCCATTGAACAGCACCGTCCAAAATCCGGCGGCCGTGTCAATCTCGACAGATGGTATCCCCTCCGTGCCCGTTTGGTGTTCAGTCGGGTAGCCGCCATAGCCGCTTCCTGTCGACGTCGAAGGAACCGTCACGGTCGTCGTGGTGCCGTCCGGGCCGGGGATCTCCAGCTCGTTCTTACCATTCGACGTTGGCGTCACGTCCGCGATGGCCGTCGTCGTCGAGCCGTCCGTGGTCGTGATCGTCACTTCCTGCTTGCCGTCGATCACCGGGCCGTCCGTTGTCACTGTAGCGGGACCCGTAGGTGTCATCACGCTGACCGTCGTCGTCGTCGTCGTCGTCGTGGCCGTGCCGTATTCACTCTCACGGACTGGAATCGGAATCCGTCGGATGCTCTCACCAGGACCCAGCGGGACTTCCACCCACAATGATCCGTCGGTGTACACCAGCACATCAACAGTACGCTTCTCCGGCGAGCTGCCGTCATGCTTCAGAATCGTGATACTCTGCGTGCGTTCCAATGTCACCGGGCCATTGAACAGCACCGTCCAAAATCCGGCGGCCGTGTCAATCTCGACAGATGGTAGCCCCTCCGTGCCCGTTTGGTGTTCAGTCGGGTAGCCGCCATAGCCGCTTCCTGTCGACGTCGAAGGAACCGTCACGGTCGTCGTGGTGCCGTCCGGGCCGGGGATCTCCAGCTCGTTCTTACCATTCGACGTTGGCGTCACGTCCGCGATGGCCGTCGTCGTCGAGCCGTCCGTGGTCGTGATCGTCACTTCCTGCTTGCCGTCGATCACCGGGCCGTCCGTTGTCACTGTAGCGGGACCCGTAGGAGTTATCACGCTGACCGTCGTCGTCGTCGTCGTCGTCGTGGCCGTTGCCGATTCACTCTCACGCACAGGGATCGGAATCCGAAGCGGGGTCTCACTCTGACCCAGCGGCAGTTCCATTTCCAACGATACTGACGCGTACTCGAGCACAAAGAACAGAAAACTTATCCTTCGACGTGGCGGTGTGGGTTAGGATCGGGATACTCTGAGTGTGTTCCGGTGTCACCGGGCCGATGGAACAGCACGTCCAAATCCCGGCGCCCGGGTCCCATCTCGACAATGTACCCTCGTGCCGTTGGGTTCATCGGTACGCCTACGCTCCGTGACTCAAAGAACCTCACGTGCTGGGGTGGCCTCGGGCGCGGATTTTACCAGTTGTTTTCTAACCCTTGGGAACTGGGGGCTGGCACTTGCGACTGG